CTTTGAGTTTTAGCTTTCTTTGTGGATCTAAAATTCATTTAATATGTTTTCCTGATTCGAAAATTCTGTCTGTTGAATTTTTGCGTAGATGAAGTGAAGAATTAGAAAATATAGTGTGAATCTGGAAATTTATTAATATTTGGTACAATTTATTTAAGTTAGCTGCAATACTGTAGAAAGGGAGTGATGGAATGCGAAACGGATCAAATTCGTTTGAAATTGGTGTGATGAACTTTTATTTTTAGCGAGCTATTTTACTGGTCATACTGAAAATGTTTGTTGGCGTTGTTGTTGGATAACTCATCGAGAACTGGAAGAAAAAGCACAAAAGTTTTAACATGGTTCACCAGTGTAATGGGATTTCTTTATAGATTAAAAATGGTATTCTTCACGGCTCTCGATGGGTTTCACAAGAAGAAAGATTTCTAGAAAGAAATTGTAGAAAAATTTCTCAATAAAGAGTTGTGTAATGGGATTTCTAGAAAGAAAAACCCTCTCGATGGGTTTCACAAGAAGAAAGATTTGAAAGCCCTGAGTACACAGTTTCGAAACTAACACTATTTTCCATCAATTAGCTTTCAATACTTGCACCTGAAGAATAGATCCTTTTTTTGCGTATCTGAAAAGAAAAAAATAAAAAGCAACCCAACTGCTTCAATTCTTCCTTTTAAAACGGATTTTCAAATCAGTTGTAACCAAGTCCGCACGGCACTTCTCCACACTGTCCTGCTGTTATTCCGTTTGTGTAAAAACGGCGCTTTACTTCTTTAAGTGAAGATGCGCATTTGGTGGAAGTATGTTACATTTTTATCCCTCAAACCCATGTGTGAGTTATGACATCCATTGCTTCCAAGCACCAGAGTTCTATTTTTATTATTTATTATTTTTCATGTAAACACGGAAGAACTTTAATCCAGCTATAATCTTTTTGAGCGTAAGTGTGATATGGTTTGGTTAGCTGAATATTAAGCTACTAGTTTTAGTCAGCGTTTTCATAAATGATTTAGTTTTTGACTATATGACATCTATATGCATCCCCGACACAGAAGAATATGTCGCGCGAGGAAAATGTATACA